AGTGGGATCTGGGGGCGATGGAGCTGTTGCTGTTGGAGGTGCTGCTGGAGCTAGAGCTGCTGGAGGTCCTGGAGCTGGTGGTGGTGCAGGAGTTGGAGCTGGAGACCCTAGAGCTGGGGGTACTGGTGCTGTCTTTGCTGGTTCTGGAGGTGCTGCGCGGCCGCGCCGTACTTCGATCCACTCCTTCAGCAGGTTCTTGGTCTCCCGCCTTCTAATGGTCCTACTCCTTACTATGTCCGCCGCCTGACCAGTCGCAGTCGCAGTTACCACCAGCCTCCCCACTGCCTGGTCCTTCTCCTTACACTGGGCCGACCGGAGGTCTTGCTGAGCGTCGTAAGCCTGCATCTTGCCCTGCGTTGCCTGTTCGCTCTGCTCGCACTAGTCGTCATGTTCCGCGTCCGCGTCCTCCTCCTGTCCCCGTCACGCACCAGATGGCACTTCGTCTTTCCTCTGTTCCACTGCGTGTCCCTCTGCCGTCTCCTCCTGCGCCCTCCCTTGCTGACGGTCCGGACCCCGAGTCTGACTCCCTTCATGCTGCCAGCCCTACCGTCACGCGTCTGCTAGCTACTGATGTCACTGACCCTTCCTTTGAGTCCACTGCTGCATCTGCCTTAATTGCTGAGCTTGTCAACTTTGCTGCTCGCTGTCGTCTCGACTACGCCGCTGGTCTTGTTGCTGAGTCAGAGTATGTCTGTCCTCCGTCCGTCGGGGGTGAGTGTGCTCTTGGCACGGACGTCCTTGAGGACAAGCAGGAGGGCTTTGAGTGTTTTGCAGCTGCTGTACCTCATCTCGTGTCCATGCTAGTTGCACTTGAGGGAGACCCGGATGCACCAGACATCCCGACCCCGTGCTCTTACGCAGAGGCGATAGAGGGTCCCTACTCCTCTCAGTGGCAGTCAGCCATGGATGTAGAGATGGCATCCTGGAAGTCCACATGCACTTACGTCGCCGAGGTTCCCCCTCCTGGGGTGAACATCGTCAGTGGCATGTGAATTTTCAGGGTTAAGCGGTCGCCGGGTTCTCCGCCTGTCTTCGAGGCGCGTTACGTTGCACGAGGCTTCAATCAGCGACAGGGGGTTGAATTCTTCCAGACCTTCTCCCCTACAACGAAGATGACCACTCTTTGGGTTCTGCTGCACGTCGTCGCTCAGTGTGACTACGAGCTCCACTCTCTTGACTTCAGCACTGCTTTCCTACAGGGCAGCCTGCACGAGGAGATCTGGCTGCGCCGCCCACCTGGTTTCACTGGGTCGTATCCAACAGTTACCCAGTGGAGCCTCCGGCGGCCAGTCTACGGTCTCGGCCAGGCGCCTCGCGAGTGGCACGACACACTGAGGACGACTCTTGCGGCTCTTGAGTTGCTCCTTCTACTGCTATCCCGTCGCTACGCACCGACACTTCGTTGCCGCCGTTCTACATCCTCGTGTACATAGACGACTTGGTCTTTGCCACTGCTGACACTGCTGGACTGGCCCCCGTGAATCCGGAGCTGCAGAAGAGACACACGTGCACAGACTTGGGTGAGCTGCACAACTATCTTGGCTTGCAGATTACTCGGGAAAGACCACGGCGCACCATTACCTTGACTCGGTCACACATGGTGCAGCAGGTCCTTCAGCGCTTCGACTTCCAGTACTCCTCGCCACAGTCCACTCCTCTGCCTACCGGCCTCCCTCTCTTAGCTCTGCCTACGGATGAGTCCGTAGAGCCGAGTGGCCCGTATCCAGAGCTTGTGGGCTGCCTCATGTACCTGAGGACCTGCACTCGACCTGACCTTGCTTACCCTCTTAGCATCCTGGCACGCTACGTTGCGTCCGGGAGACACCGACCAGAGCACTGCAAGGTTGCTAAGAGGGTAATGCGCTACTTGTGCAGTACGTCGGGAATGGGGCTTGTGCTTGGAGGACGGGGTCCAGTTGTCCTCACTAGTCACGCAAATGCTTCTTGGGTTGACGACTTGGCTATGCAGCGGTCGTTACAGGGTTACACCTTCAGCCTTGGCTCCACCTCTGTTTTGTGGCGGTCTACCCACTCGTCTTCTGTTCTCAGCTCCAACAGTGAGGCTGAGATCTACGTAGGGGCCATGGCTGCACAGGAGTTACGCTGGCTCACCTACTTGCTGAGCGACTTGGGAGAGCCAACTCGTTCTCCTCCAGTTCTGTACGTCGACAACAAGGCCATGTTTGCCTTGTGTCAGGAGCACAGACTGGAGCACAGAACGAAGCACATTGCTCTTCGCTACTTCCTTGCTCGAAAGTTGCAGCAGCGTGGCCAGCTTCGTCTTGTTTACGTGGCCTCTGAGGTCAACACTGCTGATATCTTCACCAAGGCACTTCAGCCTTGTCATTATCAGCGTTTCTGTACTGTTCTAGGCCTTGTGCCTACTTGCTCTCACTTGCTCACTTCCTGACTTTGCTTGTACTGTGATCTATATATGTGAAGAAATGAGGAAAGGAATGACTAAGGGAAAGTTGGGTACAAGTACAAACCCTAGAAATGTGTACCCCATATGTGCTACCCCACTATAGCCTACATCAGCTAAGTCATATAAATCTGACACACCCGCATAGGCAAAGTGGGGAAGAACAAGGGGTCACAAGACCAGTCAAGCAAAGCAAAACAAGCTCAGGGTGGATCACAACGTCACCACACATTACGAGCACAAGTTCAAGGCCACAAGGCCAGTTCACATGCAAGATCATATATAAGAGTAAACAAGCAAGTGCAGGTATAGATAGATCACAGTACAAGCAAGGTCAAGAAGTGAGCAAGTGAGGCAAAGTAGGCACAAGACCTAACAGAGTGCAGAAGCGCTGATGATCACAAGGCTCGAGTGCCTTGGTGAAGATATCAGCAGTGTTGGCCTCAGAGGCCACGTAAGCAAGGCGCAGCTGACCACGCTGCTGTAGCTCACGAGCAAGGAAGTAGCGAAGAGCAATGTGCTTCGTTCTGTGCTCCAGTCTGTGCTCCCGACACAAGGCCAGCATGGCCTTGTTGTTTACGTACAACACTGGAGGAGAACGAGGCAGCTCTCCGAGGTCAGTCAGCAGGTAGGTGAGCCAGCGAAGCTCCTGTGCAGCCATGGCCCTAGCGTAGATCTCAGCCTCACAACTGGAGCCGAGAACAGAAGACGAGCGGGTAGACCGCCACGCAACAGAGCCGGAACCAAGACTGAAGGTGTAACCCTGTGACGACCGCTGCATAGCCTGGTCGTCAGCCCAAGAAGCGTCTGCGTGACCAGTGAGGACCACTGGACTCCGCCCTACAAGCACAAGCCCCATGCCCGACGTACTGCACAAGTAGCGCAACACCCTCTTTGCTGCAGCCATGTGCTCCGGTCTGTGTCTCCCAGGAGCAACATAGCGTGCCTGAATGCTAAGAGGGTATGCAAGGTCAGGATGTGTGCAGGTCATCAGGTACATGAGGCAGCCAACAAGCTCTGGGTACGGGCCACTCGACTCTACGGACTCATCCGAAGGCAGAGCTGAGAGCGAGTGGCGAGTAGACAGAGGAGTGGCCTGAGGCGAGGAGTACGTGAAGCCGAAGCGCTGAAGGACCTGCTGCACCATGTGTGACTGAGTCAGGGTAATGGTGCGGCGTGCTCTGTCCCGGGTGATCTGCAAGCCAAGGTAGCTGCGCAGTTCACCCAGGTCAGTGCACGTGTGTCTCTTCTGCAGCTTAGACCTCACGTTGGCAAGTCGAGCAGTGTCAGCAGTGGCAAAAACCAAGTCGTCGGCGTACACGAGGATGTAGAACGGCGACAAAGAGGTGTCGGTGCGCAGAAACAGCGACGGGTCGGCAGTAGAAGGAGCAAACCCAAGAGCCGCAAGTGTAGTCCTCAGTGTGTCGTGCCACTCACGAGGTGCCTGGCGGAGACCGTAGACTGGCCGCCGGAGGCTCCACAGGGTACCAGGAGGAAAAGACCCAGAGAAGCCAGGAGGGCGGCGCAGCCAGATCTCCTCGTGCAGGTTGCCCTGCAAGAAAGCAGTGCTGAAGTGAAGGGAGTGAAGCTCGTATTCGCGCTGAGCGGCTATGTGCAGCAGTACCCAAAGAGTGGTCATCTTCGGGGTGGGAGAGAAGGTCTGAAAGTAGTCAACTCCTTGCCGCTGACTGAAGCCTCGAGCCACGTAACGCGCCTTGAAGACAGGCGGAGAACCCGGCGGCCGCTTCACCCTGAAAATCGACATGCCACTGACAATGTGCGCCCCAGGTGGGGGAACATCGTCGACGTAAGTGCCAGTGGACTTCCAGGAAGCCATCTCTGCATCCATGGCTGCCTGCCACCGAGAGGAGTAAGGACCCTCTATCGCCTCCGCGTAGGAGCGCGGAGTCGGGATGTCTGGTGCATCCGGGTCTCCCACAGGGGTAAGCAGCACGGACACGAGATGAGGTGAAGCAGCAGCCAGACACTGGAACTCCTCCTGCCTGTCCTCAAGGATGTCCGTGCCAAGGGCACACTCACCCCCGACGGACGGAGGACAGACAGACTCAGACTGAGCAACAAGACTAGCAGCGTAGTCTAGACGACGGCGAGCAGCAAAGTCGACAAGCTCAGTGACCAAGGCAGACAAAGCAGCGGACTCAAAGGAAGGGTGAGTGACAACAGTAGCAAGGAGACGCGTGACAGTAGGACTGGCAGCACGAAGAGAGTCCGACTTGTTAAAATCGTAGGTGTGGGGCCTAGGCTTAGTAGCCTAGGCCCACACTAGGAGGTAGGTGGGCTTGCTCTAGAACTAGGAGTTAGGGTTTACGAAGGAGAATTGGAAGGAAGAATGATGGACTAGGAAGCAGCAGGACACACAAAATGGCAAACCCTAAGGGGTTGTACTCACTATTGAGCACCCCACTGCAAGCTAGACAAATAACATTCTGACACACCCCCATAGCCAAAGTGGGGTGTAATCAGCAGAGCAGGCAAAGCAGTACAAGCTCAGGGTGGATCACAATGTCACCACACATTCTGAGCACAAGTTAAAGAAGCAATAGTTTAAAGTTAAGAATTATGAGCACAGCTAGTGGTAGTCACAACGGGCAAGTGAGGAGGAGGAGAGAGAGTGAGGGGAGAGGAGATAGGAGGAGACGGCTGAAGCTGCAGACACACGGGCAACAGGAGGCAGACTGGCACAGCGGCTACCGGACTAAGCGCCCAGACTACAGGAGTAACAGGCCCCGCGGCTAAAGTAGCGGCAGACGAGCAACGGACCCACGGGCGGCTGGCGTATAAGTCTAGCTCACTGGGCTACCGGGACAGCGCCCCGGACTACAGGTGCTGCGGACAACAGTACAGCAACTTCCATGCAGCTTCCCCAAACAGTCCCACCCCCCTGACACACACCCGCTGCTACACCGCTAGCTCCACTCCCACGCACCCCCCTTAAACCCTAAACCCCAGTCTCCCATACAACCACCCCCCTCAGCGACAGTTGCAGCAGTGGGAGACGAAGGAGGAGGAGGAGCAAAAGGAGGAATGCACACCAGCCACCCCCATACCCGCAAACGGGGGGGGGGGGGGGGGGGAGAGCAGAAACAGTGCGCACGAGGGCGCAAACAGTAGCAGAGCGCACGAGGGCGCGAGCGCGAGGCACGAGCAGCACCAGGCACATGCAGCACAGGGCAGCACAGGCACGGGCAGCAACAGGCACGGGCAGCACAGGGCAGCACAGGCACGGGCAGCAACAGGCACAGGCAGCACAAGCATGGGCAGCACAGGCACGGGCAGCACACGCACGGGCAGCACAGGCACAGGCAGCAACAGGCACAGGCAGCACAGGGCAGCACAGGCACGGGCAGCAACAGGCACAGGCAGCACAGGCACGGGCAGCACAGGCACGGGCAGCACAGGCACGGGCAGCACAGGCACAGGCAGCAACAGGCACAGGCAGCACAGGGCAGCACAGGCACGGGCAGCAACAGGCACAGGCAGCACAGGCACGGGCAGCACAGGCACGGGCAGCACAGGCACGGGCAGCACAGGCACAGGCAGCAACAGGCACAGGCAGCAACAGGCACAGGCAGCACAGGCACGGGCAGCACAGGCACGGGCAGCACAGGCACGGGCAGCACAGGCACAGGCAGCAACAGGCACAGGCAGCACAGGGCAGCACAGGCACGGGCAGCAACAGGCACAGGCAGCACAGGCACGGGCAGCACAGGCACGGGCAGCACAGGCACGGGCAGCACAGGCACAGGCAGCAACAGGCCCGGGCAGCACAGGCACGGGCAGCACAGGCACGGGCAGCACAGGCACAGGCAGCAACAGGCACAGGCAGCACAGGGCAGCACAGGCACGGGCAGCACAGGCACAGGCAGCACAGGTACGGGCAGCACAGGCACGGGCAGCACAGGCACGGGCAGCACAGGCACAGGCAGCAACAGGCACAGGCAGCAACAGGCACAGGCAGCACAGGGAGGGCAGCACAGGCAGGGCAGCACAGGCAGGGCAGCACAGAGCGTACCGGGTCCAGGGGCTGCTTCTGGGGTCCAGGGGCGGCTGCTGCAGGGGCTGCTGCTCCAGGGGCCAGGGGCGGCTCCTGCACGGGCGGCCGCTCCAGGGACCAGGGGCGGCTGCTGCCGCAGGCTCTGGCGGCGGCTGCTGCTGCAGGCTCTGGCGGCGGCTGCTGCTGCAGGCTCTGGCGGCGGCTGCTGCTGCTGGGCGGCGGTGGCTGCTGCGGCAGAGCGGCGGCGGCTGCTGCTGCTGGTAGAGCGGCGGCTGCTGCTGCAGGCTGGGTGGCGGCAGCTGCTGCAGGCCTGGCGGCGGCTGCTGCTGCAGGCTCGGCGGCCGCTGCTGCTGCAGGCTCTGGCGGCGGCTGCTTCTGCAGACTCTGGCGGCGGCTGCTGTTGCAGGCTCTGGCGGCGGCTGCTGCTGCAGGCTGTGGCGGCGGCTGCTGCTGCAGGCCTGGCGGCGGCTGCTGCTGCAGGGCGGCGGCGGCGGCTGCTGCTGCAGGATCTGACGGCGCCCCGCGGGTCCCGCAGGGGGCGTCGCGACGAGCAGGGGCGACGCCCCGCGGGTCCCACAGGGGGCGTCGCGACGAGCAGGGGCGACGCCCCGCGGGTCCCGCACGGACGTCGCGACGAGCAGGGCGACGCCGCGCGGGTCCCGCAGGGGGCGTCGCGACTAGCAGGGGCGACGCCCCGCGGGTCCCGCATGGACGTCGCGACGACCAGGGCGACGCCGCGCGGGTCCCGCAGGGGGCGCCGTGACGAGCAGCGGGGAGGGCAGCGCGCAGGCCCCCCCGAGGGCGCTCCGACGGACGGGGCGCGCGGCGGGCAGAAAAAGCCGCCACGCGTTCGAAGCGCGTGGCGGGATGAAAATGCAATGCCGTATAGTACGGCAGCGGAAGGAGGTGGTGGGCCCGATGAACTAGGCGGCAGGATCTTGCCGGCTCTAGATACCATGTTAGAATCGTAGGTGTGGGGCCTAGGCTTAGTAGCCTAGGCCCACACTAGGAGGTAGGTGGGCTTGCTCTAGAACTAGGAGTTAGGGTTTACGAAGGAGAATTGGAAGGAAGAATGATGGACTAGGAAGCAGCAGGACACACAAAATGGCAAACCCTAAGGGGTTGTACTCACTATTGAGCACCCCACTGCAAGCTAGACAAATAACATTCTGACACGACTCCGGGTCAGCAAGAAGTGCAAAGGGGAGAGAGGAAGAGAGGACTCTGGAGGAGAAGGCAAAGGGGCACGCAGAGGAGCAGTGGACGGACGGAGAGACATCCGGCGGGATGCAGGCTCACGACGCTCAGCAAGACCTCCAGTAGGACCAGCGTAGGGAGAAGGAGCAGGCAGTGGGGAGGTGAGGTGTAACTGTAACTGCGACGGGACAGGCTGTGGACACTCTAAGGGAGGAGGAGGACCAGTAGAAGGCGGGAGACCAAGAACCTGCTGAAGGAGCGGAACGAAGTACGGCCGAGGCCGCTCAACGACTCCTGAAACAACAGGGACAGCACCAGTACCCCCAGTGGTAGCACCAGCGCCAGCAGCACCACCAGCTCCAGCAGCGTCAACTCCAGCACCCTCAGAAGCACCGGCGCCAGCACGACCTCCAGCACCAGTACCCCCAGCAGCTCCAGCAGCTCGAGGACCTCCAGCAGCACCAGCAGCACCTCCAGCAAGACCACCTCCAATAGCGCCAGCAGTACCCTCAGTGCCAACACCCTCAGCAGCTCCAGCTCCACCCGGACCTCCAGAAGACGCAGCAGCTCTAGCTCCAGCACCAGAAGTACCCGCTGGCCCAGCAACTCCAGTACTCCCAGTACGAGCACCTCCGGGACCCATGGTACCAGCACCCTCAGCAGCAGTAGAACGTCCAGCTCCAGCAGCACGCCTCCAACGCTGGGCAAACCACTCACGCACCTCCTGTGGAGAGAGGAGCTCCCGCCGAGGCGAAGCACTCGAAGGACCTCCAGGCCCAGCACCGCCAGACGCCACACGAGTAGGCCCAGTACTCTCAGACTCCGCACTCCCAGACGCAGCACCCCCAGGCGTAGCACCCCCACGCGCAGCACCCCCAGGCGCAGTACCCCCAGGCGCAGCACCCCTAGTCTCAGCACCCCCAAGCTCAGCACCCCAAGAGTCAGCACCCCCAGGCTCAGCACCCCCAGACCCGGCACCCGCAGGCTCAGTACCCCTAGCAGCACCAGAGTCACCAGCTACCTCGGCAGGCTCGACTGCGTCTACCTGGGAAACACCTGAGGGGGCAGGACCCTGAGGGGGGAGGGGGTCTACCAGGGGGGGACCTGACACAAGGGAGAGTGGTGGTGGAGGGAGGGACGCAGTGCGGTAGGGGAAGAGACGGTAGTAGGGAACCTACTCGTCAAACGTGACGTCCTGAGAGGACAGAACACGACGCAAGGTGGGGTGGTAAAACTGCCAACCTGGCACGTCAGGGGGGAAGCCAAGGAAGACGCAGGGAACAGCACGGGGGGACAGCTTGTCCGCGAACAAGTCGCGGAAAAACTCCCGAGATCCCCAGACACGGAACACACACGCATCGCCAACCTTCCCCGTCCACCGCAGAGCAGGGGAGGTCTCCGGCAAGGAGACGCGGGGCTGAAGGTTGATCTGATGCGCCTGTCGGAACATTATATAGCTTATACATTTGTGTAGGCTGTAGTGGGGTATCCCATAGGGTGTACAACCCAATTAGGGTTAGTACTTGTACCCACTTCTTTCATAGTTCATTCATTCTCGTTTCAGTTTTCTCATGGTATCGAGCAGGTTCCCTCGTGGGAACTGTTCCTAGGGCCCACCAAGTCGAATTTTTTTCCTGCCCGGAGCGCGCTCAGCCCTAGCCCGAGTCGCGCTCCCCTCTCTCGGCCCGCGCGCCGCCCTTCCTGGCCCCAGCCTCGCCGCCCTTACCTGCGGCCTCGCCACCTACCTGCGGCCCCGCCGCCCTTACCTGCGGCCCCGCCCTTACCTGCGGCCCCGCCACCTACCTGCGGCCCCGTCGCCCTTACCTGCGGCCCCGCCCTTACCTGCGGCCCCGCCACCTACCTGCGGCTCCGCCGCCCTTACCTGCGGCCCCGCCCTTACCTGCGGCCCCGCCACCCACCTGCGGGCCCGCCACCTACCTGCGGCCCCGCCAACCACCTGCGGCCCCGCCCTTACCTGCGGCCCCGCCACCTACCTTCGGCCCCGCCGCCCTTACCTGCGGCCCCGCCGCCCTTACCTGCGGCCGTGCCGCCCTTACTTGCGGCCCCTCCGCCACCACTATGGCGTAGGCACCGTCGCCTGCTGCAGCGCCGCCCGCCACCCGAGCCGCCCGAGCCGCCACACCTAGCCGAGCAGCCGACCGCCGCGCCGTCCTGCAGCCGCACCGCCGAGCCACCCTGCAGCCAAGCCGCCGAGCCGCCCAGCAGCCGAGCCGCCGTGCAGCCGAGCGGCCGAGCCGCCGAGCCGCCCTGCAGCCGAGCCGCCGAGCCGCCCATCCGCCCAGCAGCCGAGCCGCCGTGCAGCCGAGCCGCCGAGCCGCCGAGCCGCCCTGCAGCCGTGCCGCCGAGCCGCCCAGCAGAAGAGCCACCCTACAGCAGAGCCGCCTGCACCGCCGAGCCGCCCGAGCAGCCCTATGAGAGGACGTCCCCGTTATAATATTTTCTCACTATTATATTTTTCCGTTATCCCATTCTCCCTTTTCTCCTCTTTATTTTGGTCTTTATCTCATCTCAATCGGCCTACTATTCTATTTTCTAGAGCCTTCTATTTATTTCTCTTATTTCCTACTTTTCCCACCGACATACCTATTATACGGCATCGACAGCGCCGACAGTGGTGTATACGGTGTAATCTGGGCGTAATCCCAAGTGCCAATAGACTTGCGTGCTTATGCGCACTTGTGATTGTAGTATCGGGAAGGGTGTGTTCCCGAAGGTTCGCTTTATCTCGTTTATCCTTGTACTTTCTGAGTATAAATAGGCCTTGTATTCAGTTTTAGTGACAAGTTTCGATTGAGAATTCGATCCTGTGACACTTGGTAATCAGAGCCGTTCTCACTCGACAACTCTCGGCTAAGCAGCGGTCGCGGAAAAAATCGCCTCGAAAAACCGCCGGGGGCGACCAATTCGACGCCGATTTCTGGTAAGTACCAGTTCCGCGCTTTTCGAATTAACCCCCTCGCGTGGTTTTTGAACAGGATGGGTTCGCCGGCGACCAACGACGTTACGCAGCAGCTCTTCGCGCAAATCGCCAAGATGGAAGCGGAGATGCGAGCGACGACTGAACGGTCGCGATTGGAGAATGAGCAGATGCGAAACGAACTGCAGCGCGTTACGCGGCTCCTCTCGACCATGAACATTCCTGCTTCGACGACTTCGCAGCAGTCGCAGCTGTCAGAACTTATAGCTTACTTGTTTCTGTAGGCTATAGTGGGGTATCCCATAGGGGGTACAACCCAATTAGGGTTTCCTATTTGTACTCACTTCGTTCATAGTCATTCCATTCTCGTTCTTTGTTTTCACATGGAATCAGAGCAGGTTCCCTCCTAGGGACTGCTTCTAGGGCCCACCGAACCGCGCCCCGAGGCGCGTTTTTTTTTTAGCGACCCGTCGTGTCGCCCCTAGCGGACCGTTGCGCCGCCCTTCCCCTCGCGGCTCCGCCGCCCTTCCCTAGCGGCCCCGCCGCCCTTCGATCGCGGCCTCGCCGCCCACTGCTACGCGGCCCTGCCGCCCTTCGATCGCGGCCCCGCCGCCCTCTGCTACGCGGCCTCGCCGCCCTCTGCTACGCGGCCCCGCCGCCCCCTGCTACGCGGCCCCGCCGCTCTCTTCGGACGCGGCCCCGCCGCCCTCTGCTACGCGGCCTCGCCGCCCTCTGCTACGCGGCCTCGCCGCCCTCTGCTACGCGGCCCCGCCGCCCCCTGCTACGCGGCCCCGCCGCTCTCTTCGGTCGCGGCCCCGCCGCCCTCTGCTACGCGGCCCCGCCGCCCTCTGCTACGCGGCCCCGCCGCTCTCTTCGGTCGCGGCCCCGCCGCCACTCTGCTACGCGGCCCCGTCGAGCCGCCGCCCGAGCCGCCGCCGAGCCGCCAGAGCCGCCGCCGAGCCGCCCGTGACGCCCGAGCCGCCCGCGCCGCCCAGCAGCAGCCGAGCCGCCGCCGAGCCGCCGCCGCCTGAGCCGCCGCCGAGCCGCCGCCGAGCCGCCGCCGAACCGCCGCCGAGCCGCCGCCCGAGCCGCCGCCGAGCCGCCCGCGCCGCCCGAGCCGCCTGCGGAGCCGTGCTGCTGTTCCTCTGCTGCTGACCTACCCGCCTCTCCCAGCCCGGTGAGATTTTCAGCTGCTGTCATGGCCACCCCCAATGTTCTTACCTTTGACGCTGAGGGGAGGGCCATTGACTTTGCCGTCTGGATTGAAGACCTGCAGCTGTACTTACTGTGTGATGCGATAGATGAGGTCTCTCTCTTTGACTTTGTCTCTGGCGCTGTCCCTGCCCCACCTGCTGATGCTGACTCTGCCGTTCGCTCCAAGTGGGCGACCCGCGATGCTGCTGCACGTCTTGCTGTGCGTCGCCACCTCCCTTCCTCTGAGCGTGCCCACTTTAGTCAGTGCAAGACCGCTCAGGCCTTGTACGACGCTGTAGTTGCACGCTACTCCTCCCCTTCCTCCGCTACCCTTAGCCGCCTCATGCTACCGTTTCTCTTCCCTGACCTCGCTTCCTTTCCCACTGTCGCTGACCTCGTTACCCACCTCCGTGCTAGTGACACCCGCTACCGCGCTGCCCTTCCTGCTGAGTTCCGCGCTGCGAACCCTCCTCCCATGTACATCACTCTCTACTTTCTCGTCACCCGTCTCCCTGAGTCCCTTCGTGTCGTTAGGGACCAGTTTCTCTCTGTCTGTCCCACCACTCTCACTGTCGACCTCCTTGAGGAGTCCCTGCTAGCGGCTGAGAAGAGTATTGTCGCTGTAGGGG